AATAGCACTGCCCCGCCCTGGGCCGGGGCCGCGATGCCTGTAAAACAACCAGGCTGCGCTCTCTTCCCTACCACCGTCTCATCTCCAGCCTTTGGGGTGTTGCACAGTCTGGTCTCAAGAAATGATCCCCTCTCTGGTGGGGCCGTGGCGCTGCAGCCCCCCTCCCCCTTCCCCTATCGCTGGGGGGCGGAGCGGGAAGCAATAGCACTGCCCCGCCCTGGGCCGGGGCCGCGATGCCTGTAAAACAACCAGGCTGCGCTCTCTTCCCTACCACCGTCTCATCTCCAGCCTTTGGGGTGTTGCACAGTCTGGTCTCAAGAAATGATCCCCTCTCTGCCGGCAGGCGCCTCTTGGTAGTGTCTTTGAGCACTTTCAGCTGCTGGCATGACTGGAAGAAGGCAGCACAGAGGTGCAGCCCGTAGCCTAGTGATCACCAACCAGTGGATCTCGATCCACCGGTAAAGCTCTGAGCCTCTTGAGTCGATCTGAGGCTGGGGTGGGGGCCTGAGTGCCTGTGTGCATGCACCTGCTCACCCTAGCCCAGCAGTCAGTCCCTGGGGGAGGGAATGGGCGGGGGCTAGATCAAGGCCCCTGTGGTGAGGGACAGTGCCACGAAGGCAGGAGCAGGTGTAAGTTAGGTAGAGCCCCGGCTGGGTGGGATTTACCTGCTGGGGAGGCGTGCCCCCAAATAATTTTTTCTCCCTCTGCCTTGGTCTTCTCCTCCCCACAGATTTACCTGCTGGGTGGGGGGTGGCGCACGGTAGATCTTGGGTTACTTTTAAATGCCAACGGGGATCTCCTACTTAAAGGCTGGAAACCATAGGCAGACAAGGTTCTTTGGGTGAATCTGATATCTTTTATTTGACCAACAAATAGTGTGAAAACAATTATTAAGCAAGCTTTCGGGTTCAAAAACCCTTCGTCAGGCTAAGAAAGTTTCAGCAGTTGGTGTGTGCTCTTCCTGGATGGAAGAGAGGCCAAGTTTTCATGAGCTCTTGAAAGAAGGCAGCTCAGAGATGCAGCATATAGACCTGTTGCATCAAGTACATAAGGAGAGGCCAAGTTTTCATGAGCTGTTGAGTTTGCATGCTCAGATGCTGTGAATGGAGGGCACACAAAGGGCATGGAGGGGAGTGAGTAATTGGATTACAATAGGTGGGCAAAGAGCGGGGAGCGGAGCAGCATTGCAACTCTTCACAACCAGTAGCAGGTTTGTCCTGACATGTTAATGCATAGCCATTAACATCTGCAAAGGTGTTTGTGCCAGGAAGCTTGCAAAGAACATTTTTTTCTATTTAGTTGGTCTAATAAAAAGTATCACATCTGCCCAAAGAACCTTGTCTGCAAAGATGTAGTGGTGTTTACATGAAGGTAGGGACATATGCGAGAGAGAGGATGCTGTCACTTCTGAGGAAGTTGACATTTGAGAGCTAAAAGCTTCCAGCCTCTGTTACTTCTGCAGCCTGGTAGGTTGGCTCTTTCTGTGTTTGGTGATAGGTGCAGCCGAGAGCATGAGTTTTTAGAAATGATTTTTTTCTTTATCTGTTACCTGTCATCTGCACTCTGGAGACTCAAGGTTCCCACAGATTTTGGAAAATGATCCAGAATTTACTATTGGTGCTTCTCTATCTGGGCTGTATGGAGATTTAACGCAGTCAGCTGGAGTACCTGGAGATCATCTGAGGCAGTTAATTTAGCCCCAGTTAGATTTGAATTTCAGTTTAACCTGCCTCGACCACAGCAGAATGTGAGATTTTTTTTTTTCCCTCCCACCCTTGGTGCGCACATGTTGGATCCTGCTTACTGTTTCCTTGCTATCTCCTGTGTGAGTAAATAAAAACAAACAAACAAAAACCTGTCACTTGACTATAACACTCAAATAAGTAGGCTTTTGTGGCACAGGCATAATAAATTGTAGGTTTATGTTTATGAGTGTGTGAATTGCTGTGGGTAAGTCAAAGAAGAAGACGGAGCTTTCTGTAGTGGGGGCATGGTCCTCTCTCTGGGATCTCTTGAGCATATATTAACTTTCTTTTACAGGAGCAGGATGTTGGCTGCTGTGGTTCCCTTGCTTTACCTTTGTCTTATGCTGCTTCAGGTTTGACTTAGATCAGAGGTGTGCAATTATTTGGGCTGGAGGGTCACTTAAGGAGTTTTGGAGAGCTCTTGCAGGGGAGAGAGGGGGAAATTCATATGGTCTGGCACCCACTGCCAGGGGCACCGGACAGAGCAGGGAGGTGGGTGAGGTCTTCATGGAGACTAGTCCTAGACCCATGTGGGCAGGGTGCACTCAGCCAGGTGGATGAGATGGGATGGGGCCGCAGGCAGGAATTGGTGCCTGGGATCACAAGGTGGAAACAACGAGGGGCAGAGCCACGATCTGCTCCCTGCCCATCCCTGTGACAGGCATCAGTTCCATGGGCAGGGACATGCCAGGAGCAGACTGCAGGTCTTCCCCAGGTGTCACTGCCCGGCAGTCCCAGCCCCGCCTGCCTGTCTGTGGCTGGGGGGCCCTGGCAGTGGAGCCTGGGTCTGGGGCTGGAGGCCTGTCTGTGGCTGGGGTGCCTTGGCAGTGGAGCCTGGATCTGGGGCTGGAGACACTGGCAGCAGCAGCTGGGCAGAGAGAGCCACCACCACAAAGGCTACTGGGAGGCTGATCCTACTGCTGCCCCTGCCATGTGCACGAGGGTGGCAGGACCAGCTGGATGCACCATGGCCCCAGCTGCCCCCTGCGTCTAGTCTGGCTAGGGCCAAGGGACCTGCCCCAGACTGGATAGAATCCCTTGGTGGGCCAGATCTGGCCTCAGGGCCACATTTTCCTCCCCCTAGATTAGATTATGGGTTTGTATGATATGGTTTGAATAGGGATGATCCTGCCTCAGGTGGGAGATCAGACTATTTGACCTTTTGGAGGTCCCTTCCAGCCGTGCCTCTCTGATTTTGTGCTTTTTCATGGCGTTTCTGAAGAACAGTCTAGTCTTGCAGTCATTGGCAATTGTCTGAAAAAATAGGGAGGTTGAAAGGAGGAAGAACTACTGTTTGTCAGTATTTTTCAAATCAGTAGTTGGGTATATTCGCATCATACTGCAAAGAAGACCAATCCATACTTGCAAATTTTAACTCTGACTCGTGTCGTATCCAAAAAAAATATGTTAATAGAAGGGTTTGATGGGGGGCACAGAAGGTAGGAGATGTGGTTAAGCATTGATGGATATTTTGTGACACAACTGATATTAGGTAAACAGTGGTATCTTGTTCTAGATATATGTTTTATTATTTGTTAGCTCTAATGCTGTGAGCTTGTTTATAAAGCATGGGGAATTGCCAAGCTTCAAAATGAAAATATACTGTTCTTTATGATAGTACTTAAGTATCTTGCTTCCTTCTCTGCCCCTATGTGGTGGTCGTGTTGTGAGAAAAGGGTTCAGTTAAAAATATAAAGTTCTGAATTCTTCCTACTTCTTCAAAAAAATATTTGTAATATGCGCATACAGATGTATTTGTTTGTTTAATTCTGTATGCTTGGTTTATACATGGCAAGTAAGTGAGGAGCGTAATTAAAATGTTTCCATTTTTAGTTTTGTTCCAAAATGCCTTAAAGGTTACGTACCATATTTTTTTCACATTTGCCATTCTTCCATACCTTCTTTTTAAGAGGCAGCTTGAGGAAAATATAATCTTCCTAGAAGAAACTAGCAGAAAAACAAAAACATCAGGCTCAGCTGAGCCTGCTGCTAGCCCTGTGGATAGACAGTGTGTGGGGTCCAGAGCACTTTGTATCCTGTTCCATGCCAGGGCCATGCATTCCCCTGCTCCAGTGTGTAGGACCAGGTCATCTGGCTGAGGGGCTCCTCTCAGGTCCAGAAGTAGGGAAGCAATGGCAATGTTAATTGTTCTGGCTCCTAGCAACCTTTTAGGATAAGGTTTTCTCACATAATGTGCACCCTAATTTTTCACAAAATAGATATTTGTAAAAATCCGTTAAGAGAAAACATAACTAAAATTTGGGACCTTTTGAACATATTTTTAAAAATTCTTTTCCTTTGTAATAGGCAATGCAAGGTACAGTTTGACTAAGAATGTTTTGGAGAAACTGTGTACAGTTGAGAACTAGCTACCTGTTTGCCTTATTGTTAGTCAAATAACATTTGAATGCTTAATTAGGGTGTGAATCATGTCCATCCCTATGTTTAGTCCTGTGGTTCTACATCTTTTTAGGTACATGGTTCTTCTCATTAGGTTTAAGGTATCCCCAGCTAGCTCGGTTGGTTGGTTTTGTTTTGTTTTGTTTTGTTTTTTTTGACAGAGAAAAATAAGAGCAATTCTCTTGTTGCAAAACACTGAAAGACCACAGCAGGTCAAAATGTTTTTGACACTAAGGATTCCTATTTGAAATCTCTGGGTTTATCATGTGAATCGTATGTAAGTGTTTGCACACCTAAGAGTGCTGCGTCCCAGGGTGCTGCAGCATCCTAGCTGATAGTCACTGATTTAGCCTAACAACTTAACTATATAGTATTTATGAAAAGCAGTTGTTAAGCAGATTAAAAAAGCTGGTGTTGATTGTTACCCTTCTTAGCAGTCTTAAATAAGGCAGGAATGAATGGGCCTGGAACAGTACTGTTGTTCATTCAGGAAGCTGGCAAAGTCTTATTTGAGGCAAATAGATGAGATTGATGATGGGAGCTCTTGCTATCTATTCCGTTGTCTATTTTGTGGATTTATAATTGTGGGGCTGTTTTATCAGGAATAATTCATAAGTATTGAAAGTGATACTATAATATTTTGTTTTAAACTAACTAAAAGCTGTCCCTTCATAAAGTGCCTGTTAAATACATAGTCTGAGTTTTTTAATTTTTTTTTTTTTAATATTAATTCAATCCAGCTTTTCTGTATCCTTATTGATCCAGACTATCTGGTTGGGGAGATAAGAATGGCCAACAACACGACCACTAAATATGCTTGGGCCATTCTTCCCCTTTCTTTCCAGGCACATATTTGCTTGCTGCCTCTGCTGATATTCCTGCTTACATGAGTAAGGCTTTAAGAACAGTGCTCATGTGAGCTGGCTGTAAGATGGTTCATAAAAATGTTTTCATTCTAGTAATGAGAGGAAGTGCAAATGACGATTAAGAAGGCAGTGAAACTGACTGGATACAAAGTGCCCTTTAAATTGGAAATAAAAGCACTTAAAGCAATATTATTTTCTAATCTTTCTGTTGTATTTATTGTAATTTGTGAAGGGTACAAAGCATTTGGAGGGTAATGTGATCCCAGCATTTTCTTTACAGCTCTAAAAACAAAAAATACATTTGCAGGTTCAGAGGATATCTCACAAAAAAAAAATTCTTTTTCACTTCAGTATTTTCCATATGATAGAAAAGCAACATTCATAAATATAGAGAAAATACTTACCTTGTGGAAACTTCATTCTGTTGCAGTACTTAATATTTTTATATATTGGGGATATATGTGGACTGACACTGTTTCACTTTGATAGAATGAAGCGAGGAAGGAAAAACAGTGAGGCCAACCATAGTTGTTCAGAAGAGGAGATTGGAAAAGAATCCAAGAAACAGAAGACTACAAGCAAAGAATCCACTGAAATATCTCAAAGTCCTGATTGGGCTAACTTGCTTCAAGACATTATTCTGCAGGTGTTTCAGTACCTTCCTCTTCTTGATCGTGCTCATGCATCACAGGTCTGCCGAAGCTGGAATCAAGTGTTTCATATGCCTGATCTCTGGAGATGTTTTGAATTTGAACTGAATCAGCCAGCTACATCTTACTTGAGGGCTACACATCCTGAGCTCATCAAGCAGATAATTAAAAGGCATTCCAATCATCTACAGTATGTTAGCTTCAAGGTAACATCTTTTTTTTTTTTATATTGTTTGAAAATAAGTAATTTGTTTTGAAAATCATATTTTGAATTGGGTTTAAAATGGAACAGGTTAACTAACATTGTGTCTAATTTAAAGTAGGTATGGTTTAAGATAATATTTCCTTAATATCCTAAAGTGTTAATTTAATACATGAAAACTAAATGCAAATACGGCATTATGGGATGTAACATTTTGCTATCAATTGAGTAATAATTGGAGTGAATAAATAATTGAGCTTTTACTCTGTCGGTGAATGGTGAGAATATGCAGATGTGAACAAAGCATTTGAACGCAATGGTATGTTCCTTAATTCAAAGAAATTGCTATTTGAAATGAACTGCCAATAAATGTAAATTTAAAAAATCTGACAACTCGGTGGACTGGACTAATTATGAAAATTGTCACTGGAAACTAGAGGTGTCAGACATCTGGCCTGCAGGGCTTCTTGCTGCAGTAGGGACAGGGCTGGCTGTGGGGTGGTCTATCCTCTCAGAGGCTGTCTTGGACTTCTGTATGAGCAGAACCAGTTCTCAGGTTCAGAGTTCTCCAGAACTTGAATTGGTTGATGGGCCATATTCCCTCTCAGCAGGCAAGGGGTTACCTTGCTCCCCCCCCCCCTTCCCACTGCTGAATTATTTTTTTTGATCTGCTGGGATGAAAAATTGTAGCAGTCAGCAATGGCAGACTGCTAGCAGGGAATATAGCCTGCCAGCTGATTTGGGTTTGCCTCTGCTGTAGAGGGATCTGGCAGTTAGAATTCTGTACAGGGATTCAATACTTATTCTGTACAAGGAAATATTTGCAAAACAGTTAATGAGTGGAAAGGTTTTCTATTAATGTAAATAAAATAAAGAGTTTTTGAGAATCAAAAAAAGTTAAAATAAATGTTTGTGCTTGTTTTGAAAATGATCCAGGAAACTTTCTTGGCTGGTGCCTAAGCTAGAAGTTGCCAAACTCTGTAGGTGTCTGGGAAAGCTTTTAAGTTCAGATTCAGAAGGTGGGGTGTTTTAAGGCCTGCTTCTGTGAGCATCCAGAAGCATCTTTAGTATTTGCAGTGCTGTACAGCTTAGCATTTATCTTCAGCCCAAGCACAAACAGGATCCCCAAACTGTGTTTCCCCAACAAAGTCCATTAGGGTCAGCAGGTATGCTTTGAAAACACCTGACACACAATGCAGTGGTAATTTATGCTTTCTTTTAATACTGCACAGCAGCAGGTTTGGTCAAAGTGATCCTCTTATTTATATAATAGGTTCATGGCCAGAATGTTTCTTCAAGGTGTGAAAGACTTGTGAATAGGTACACCTACAAGTTTACTGTCTCTTTTCAGGGTGCCCTGACAGCCACACTGAGTTAGTTTTAAGGTGGTTTGAACTAAATCAGCCAGTAATGCTTTACTTGAAGGCTGAGCTAATCAAGCAGATCATTAAGTCATCTACAGTGTACGGGCTACAAGGTAATCATGTTTGAATATAAACAGAGGTCTGCCCAGCTCAAGGAGGCAGCTGGCCAATTTTGTGAGAAGATCATGGGGGCAGCCACCATTTTTGCAGGCTGATTGCAGCAGTCCGTCCTCAGTGGCCATCTAGGGAGCCAGCATTTTATTTTCAGACATTGCCTGATTTCATGGGCAATACCAGATTTCTGTGAAATCCATGAAATCGTGATGTTGATAGGTCCCTAAATATAAAACTTCAAATAAAGTAGTATGGCAAAAAAACTTCTTTTTTTTTTTCAGAGGGAGAGAAACTCACTGTGTAGCTGAGTGCAAGGGTTTGGCAATTTGTTGCTCATGGGCCAAATCTGGCCCACACTTCTAAGAATGATTAGCCAATCCTAGCTGGAATGTCTGTGCCAGGCACCACTTCCACTCTCTGGCTTGGTGAATCTTGATTTCTCATTTTTTGTTCATCAGGAAGGATGGACAGTTTCTCCTGCCAATGTTTATGGCATTGATCAGAGAAGTGGGAGATGTGGTTTGAATCTCCATGGACAGAGTAGGGAATTGAACCCAGGTTGTCCTCGTCTGAATGAATGTTCTACTCAAACTGTTGTATGGAAAGAGAAACATTTCCACCAACTCTTCTAACATTGCCACCAACTCATGGTTAAAAAGAGAAGAGTAGCCATTTAATTTTTAAAGCAGTAATTTAGATGCATACCTTCAGAATTCAGAATAAAGGGAAACCCATTCTTCTGCAGCCTTGGATAAGATGCCAAAGCTGTGAGTATGGGTGTGTTTGGGTTGGAGTTAAAGAATTGAGTGGAGTTGCAGACACTATGGAGCAGGGATGTCAAACTAACCTGTCTCTGTGGGCTGGATGATCTACCCCTCAGCCCAGCCCAGTAACTCAAGCCTCACCAGTCGGCATGTAGGGCTGATCCCACACGGTGCCAGGTGCAGCAAGCACCCTGTCCTGGTTCCCTTGTACTGTGGCAGAGCAAGCCCCAGTGTGATACTGGCGCATGCTGTTTGAGGTGCATAGGGCTGGGCTGGGCATGCATGCTGCACATGACACTGGGCAGCACAGGGTGTGTGCTGCATGTAGTGCTTTGCTGGACCAACTGTGTGCTGCCTCTGGCATAGTCAAATGTAGACCAGCCCTGGAGCCAGTGCACAGGGTCAGTCCAACACAGACACCACGTGGTGTGCATTCCAGACTGATTCCTGTGCTGTGTGCAGAGACTGTGATGCTGGGTGCAGCTACACATCACATGGGCTGGATCACAGGGCTCTACAGTCTGAATTTGGCCCGGGGATCATATGTTTGACTTCCCTTCCAGGTAGAGCTAGGATCCAGAATGACCTGAATAAACTAGGTCTGAAATCAGTCAGATGAAACTGTAGTGAAACCAGGACAAGTGTTAAAGTCCATAGGCTGCATGTGGCCTGTGAATAGTTAGGTTGTGATCTCCAGCCCATCTGCTTTTGCTCAGTCTTTTGGCTTTGGTTTCCTGCCCCTGCCCCAAGAGGTGGGGCTGTGCAGTGCAACTCGGGGAGCTGAATGTGAGCCTGGAGCTGCATAGGCATGCAGTGCAGCAGTGAGGGCATAGGCACATGGCATAGTAGTGAGAGCAGAGCCTATGAGCTGCAGCAGGAGAGGGGGCATCTCAGGGGCCCATGGCTTGCCCTGATGTGGCCTGTGCAACATGCAGCTCCCACTAGTATGGTCACAGGACATGCAGCCTCTGGCTGCTTAGAAATTGGATAGGCCTGGTTTATGAGGGGGTTTTTTGCAGGGGGAAAATTATTTGTAGTTGAAAGTGATATTAAAAAAATAGCAGAAAACATGTCTCTCTTCAGAATATGATTTCATTTAGTTTTTCTCCTAAACTCTTTCCAGCAACGAAAAATCATAGCTAAGTTCTTTGCTGGGCTGCCTGAAGAGAAACGGAGTGAAAGTAGTATGACAGGTGAAAGGTAGTGAGTGGTAGACAGAGGGGAAGGATAGGGGGAGATGGAAAAAGGAATCAAGCTAAAATGAAAAACGCATTGGTGAAATGCAGAAGTGTGTGGCAAAGACTAAAAAGAAAAATTCAAAGAAAGGGAAATATGTGGTAAAGAAAGCTGAAGAAGAACAGAGGTATCAGTTTGCAAATCTAGTCCAGATACTAGGTTTTTCTGTAGCTATACCAACTATAGGGTTGGTAGGTAGAAATTCATTTTTGATCCCCAATTTAAAAAAAAACAACAAACCTCTTCATTCCATTTTGGAAGTGCGCATCTATTAAATTTGTGTTCCTCTCCCTTCCCTCCTCACAAGTGAAACTAAAATTTTGACTTTTAATAGATGTTCATGTAGGTTGAATGTTTTGGCTCCTCTCTTGCTAACTGCACGGTTCAGGCCAGCTTGATGCACTTGGCTGTTTCTGTGAATGTGAAAAATGGAGTTCCAGGTCACGATGCAATCTGTTAGTAGAATTCTGGGCAGAATCTTGCACCAAGCTTCCTCCTAGCAGCCTTTCTGTAATCAGTACAAGAGCTTCTTCATGTAGGATAGAAAGGAGTGTTTCAAGGTTCTGAGTGCCAAAAAACACTTCTGCCAAAAATTCTTAAACTTATAGTCTAGAGAAAAAATAAATAGTAAAATAAATATTAATAGTTTTTTATGTGCCCCCTTGCACACTCTTAGGTGCTTCAAGGGACAATGTGATTAAAGGCAGGCAAAGTAATGATAATTATTAACTTTCTCTTTAAAGGACAAAAAATGAGGGCATTTTTAAAATCAAGACTGAAGTATCCGTCCAGAATTACTCAGGAACCCTGTGCTAGTTCATTGGTATATATGAAATAGCCTGTAATGGAGAAATTCCACTGAGGGGTAGGCAAGCTGTTTAGTTTTTCATGGATGACCTGTGCAAGTTTTTCTGAGTAGGCAAGGACTGAAAAAGTCTTAACTTTCTATGTGTTTATAAGGTAAAATAGTTAACTTCTTACTTATAGAGAAGCCATTCAAGAAGTTGTTTTGAAATGAACTCATTGCATTCAAAGTTAAAATTAATATCTATTAATACAAATATTAAGTATTTACATAATTATGTAACTTTACCCAAATTATAGCATTTTTTCTATTCAAGAGTTTCTAATTAAGTAATTTTGGAATTTCATGAGGAGAAACTAGTACTATCTTATATTACAATAGTCTTTCAGTGTTGCATTAAATCAGATGAGCACACAGAGCCAGTTTGGATCAAGCCCACAGACTGGCCCCACATATCAGACAAGTACAGCAGAGTCTATAACATCCCAGCATTTCAAAAATAAAATAATTTTAATAAATCATTTTTGTATTATTATAAAGCTGTATACTGTGAACTTGCTAAGTATTTGTTCTTTTATGTACCTAAAATAATTTAAGAATTTACATAATTTGTAGCTTTTGTTTTTTTTATACTTGAGTTTAAATGGAGGAGAAGGAAGGTGAAAGAGAGGCAACTGCAGAAGGCATTAATTTATTCCCATTGCTTTACCTCGAGAGTACAAATTTGTTAATCTGTAGGAGATGTGTTTCCTGTTGGCCAGCATTCCTTTCAATTAAGGAAAATGGTTGAGGACATTGAGGACTTGTCTGCCATGGCAGTGGCCAATCCCAGAAGGATCAAATTAGCATGGTGCACCCTTCCAGATCCACAAGTATGCTGCAAATCCAGCAAAGCTAATCTGGGCTCCTTCTGTATGTCTACCTTTGCATTACCTGCCTCCAGTGGGCCTGAGTGTTCACTGGGGACAGGTGCAGAGCAGCTTTGCTGGCAGACTGAGTCTGGAGCATCACCAGATTCTGGTGGGCAGAGAGCTTTGTCCCATTGTCTCTGGGCATTACAGCTGCAGCTGTATGAACAAATATATAATGGAACATCTTTGGATGATAAAATGATGATTTAGCCAAAGAAACAGCATGCCTTTCTGGGATTTTTTTGAAGCTTGCCTATGTTTCTAAGGAAAGACTGCTGGGGCAGACCCTGTTGCAGGGGTGGCCATGATGCCCCTGGAGCGCCCCTCAGACCTAGTCACCTCTTTTATTTAGGCAATCTCCCCGTCAACTCACCTACCACACCTTGATGTAATTATACTTTTAGGAATAGGGAGGCTGTCCCAGGGCTCCCCACATGAGATCTCATGCTCATCAGGGCTGCCTCATCTCCCCTTTTAGCCATATCCAAGCCTCACAGATATTACTAAGCATTGGGCATTGAGCCCCATTGTCCAGTCAGTCTCTCATCCATTGGCCTTCAGTTTCAGTATCAACTCCAAGCAGTACAGGCCTCTAAAGTCTCCATCATTGGGGCCTCCTTTAACCATCCCAGCCCCTCCTAGGTTTGGGCCTCTGTACCTTGCACAGTCTCAGCCCCTCCTGGTCTTAGGCCTGCATTCTCTGCCCCTCCTGGCCTCAGGCCTCTGTCTCTTTAACTGTACCTCCAACTATTTCCCAGCCTCTCCAGGGCTTAGGCCTCTGTCCTCTGCCTCTCCTAAGCTCAGGTCTCATTACCTCCCAACAGATTTCACCCTTCATGGGGTACAGCCCCTGGGCCTTGCTTGTTCTTGCCCCTCCTCAGGCCCTGGCCCTGCTTTTCAGGCTAGTTGAGACTTCTACCACCTCTCCAGTCTCAATCCCTAATCCACTGGTCTTGCCCAGCCCTTGCTGCAGCCCTTCTGCTCAGGAGTTATTTTCTCCATGGCTTCCAGGTCAGACTACCTGCCCAGTCAGGCCCTGGGCTTATCCTGCAAGCCCAGCCCATTTTGGGTCATTTGGCTCCCTTGATTGGTCTTTGGTCCATCTGAAGTCAAGCTCCCACAAATAATTAAACAGTGACTCCATAGGTTAGATGGGTCATGTAAGAGACATTGATAGGAAAAAAAAACTTTTAATAATGTCTCTTTTGCTAAAATATTCTTAATTAGGGACTTTTAAAAAGCTTCCTATGCTAATAAGACATTCTGGGGAGCTGAGTAGTCAACAGAAACATATAGGCCTGTCTGGCGTCTGTTTATTTGCTGCTGTTTTGTCAAGTATCAGTTTCAAATTAACTAGTAAACACACTTTTACATAGTCTGGGAAAGACCATATATGGGAGCTATGATGGGAGATGTCCTGAAAAGGAAATGTAACTAACCTTCACTATGAAAAATAAGCTGAAATAATGAAACATTCCTTTCCCCCCCCCCCCCCCTTTTTTTTTTTTTTTAAACTAATTTTGTTCGGTTTTTTTAGGCTTTTTATTTTTAAGTGATCAGTAACTGAGTTTGAGTTTTGTTTTCAGATTTTGCAGAAACATTTTTTTGCTTTCACAGTAACTCAGGCAATTTTTAGGCCAAAGCAATATTAAGAGACCTAAAGAATAATATCAATTTAATAATTAAACTGGAAAAAATCTCCTAGATCAGTGGTTCTCAATTTTTTTGGTACCAGGACCCATTTGTTGACCCACAGTGGCCAGTCCTAACCCAGTAAATAGTTTAAGTAGAAAACAACCCCCTGGCCCTGTTGGTGCTCCTCATTCCTGACCCACTGCCCCCAGACATCTAGTGTGTGGGTCAGGAGGATGGCTTTGTGAGGCAGGGGGGCCCCCAAGCAGCCCCTCACAGGTTGGAATTCTACCAGCCTGCAAGGGAAAACCCACGGTTTCCTACCTTTTTCTCCTTTAAAGGAGAATTCAGTTTGTTTGCAACCCTTTCGTTTATTCTTGTAACCCACTTTTTGAGAAATGCTGTCCTAGATGAACTGTTTAAAATAAAATTGTGAAGGCTTGTGAACTGAGAAATATAGTCAGGAGGTGCAGTGAAAGATCACAACATAGCTCACAATTCCTTTAATGGTCTATTCCCTTTCTTCCTAGTCTTTCTGCAAAGAATGCTTCCCTCCGCAACCACCAACCAACTTTGTAATATAAACTTTCACTGTAGTAATTGTGAGGTAACTGTGGGCCAACCAATATGACTTGAAACTGCATGAGCTTGTGAGAGACGCCTGTTGCTGCTTTAACCAAGACCATAGGGTATCTCTGTGTAAACCTAATTTGGTCCATTATCCTCTAACTTTTTACCTTGTGAGGCTGTACCTTACACTTCACTTGTAGATATTTGCATCTCAGACAGGTCAGGCTTGTAGTGACTAGCATGTTTCCAAGTCTGTCTGCCAGTGAAATTTGTAAATTAACGTGTAAGCTGTCTCAACAGACACAAATAAGATTTCATATTCTTAATCTACAGGTTTGCTTCTCTGTTCATTTAGCTTTAAACTGATTAGTTTGAGTACCACTAGTAGTCTGACTGCAGCATATATAAATATAGTAGTGGTGTTTCATTTTAATCATGGGAAGATGTGGATTTTGGGTTACTTTTTTAAATCTGAAAATTGGGATTTTTTTTTATTAGGGAAAACCAGGACACCTGTTTATAAGACACCAGTATTTTTAGTGACTGCCAACTGCCAGTTGGCTTTTGGATAGTATTTAAGATGTGGGCTTTCAGTGTACAGTCCTCAATCCTGGCAGGTGTCTAGATGAAGGGAGTGTACTTGGTAGCAAAAGACACTCATGGACCCAGAGGGAGACAGCCTTCCATCTTCAGCTCGCTCTGTGCAAAAATGAAGTTTGTTTCCTACCTATGGGGACTTTTTACCATCCTGTACCATCTATACTTTTCCCAGAGCCTGATGAAGAGACTTTGATCTCGAAAGGTTGCAGAAAAGGACAGTTTTCTTGCAATTTCCCAGTTGGTCTAATAAAAGGTATTATTTTGGAACCAATAGTTCTAGTTATTTGTCTGTCTAGTTGAAGGGAAGCATTTCCCCTAGTGTGTTGTTTACCAGTTGAGATCAGCAGAGGTCCGCAAGTTGACTAGTCTCTGGTATTTATGGATAGGGGTCTACTGAACTCAAGGTGGCTGGTCAGTTTCTCAGGCAGATCTTGGGGCGGGGTGCCATATATACAGGATGAGTGCAGCAAACAGATATTTATCCTCCC